CATTTTTTTACTACAGAAAATCTGAATATGAATCTACAGACGAGCTCTTTTCTTTTGGGTCATATAACACGATACAGAAAGTACATATCACAATAATAAATGCATTTACTACTGTTAAAACAAAAATACGTATTTTGAMTTAATATTTAAGCCAAATTTGACGTKTGGCTAAAAGGACGTTTTATACTCAGAATTTAACAAATGACAGGTCAGACTGCCTCAAGATTAAATTTAGATTTAATGTTTATCACCCAGCCCCACTTGTCATAATGCTGTTAATATCATCACTATATACTGGGATTTTCTCTGGTAATATATTTAWTATAGTGCCATACTATATATAATATATAGTAATTACCACATTATATTAAGAGTGTAAATATTGCACAGCATATTTGCCTCTATTTTGCATCTCCAGGTTGCTATTTTAGGCACTAATTCCAAGATTTGAGCAGGTAAAAGTTCTGCACGAGTTTGTCCTTTGTCTGATTACAAKTTGGTACCTCACCAGCCAAATTAAACAAACTAAAATGCGCAACAATCCGAACTTTTAACTTTTATAGCCTGTCCCATCTAAATTTTCTTTTGCTTGMCCCCCAACAATCCCACAAACCATTGCGCGCCACTTCCGGTGGGCGGTGYTAAACGGTAGTCCATTGCAGACGGCTAATGAATTTTTTGTTGTTTGAATTTAGTCCAGGAGGCGTAGGGTTTTCTGTTCAGGACTATTTTTTTCTTTTTCTTTGTGCATTCACGGGATTGTAAAAAGGTTGTTTTCATTTGCAGGTATTTACTAAATAGAAGGTTAAACTCCACGTTACTATATTGATGCTAACGCGGGCCTAGCTACAACACAGTCAAATGCATGCTAACGTTGAGCTAACATACAATCCCGAAACTATAATAAAATAGATATTATGTGCAGGAGGTTATGCTATTATGAAAAGTGATCATACTCAGAGCAGGACAGCATGAGTCATGTTAGACTTAGTTTTCCTGGTTTGAGAGTCTTGCGTTTACCAAAGTCTATAATGTTAGCTCAATGGCTACGTTTGTTAGCATTCGTTAAAACGTGTATTCTGGTATCACATTTTGATTTGCTTTAATTACAAATTAGGCAGATAGAAGAACAATAATATTAATTTGGCGTTGTTTTTAGAACGCTGTTAGTTATACATCTAAATGAGACGTCAAAGACCAGATATATTTATTTGGCCCAACTTACATGAAATTACTGAAATAATAACAATCTTAATGAATTAAACTTTAAATGAGATTAGGATTTATTAACACATGAACTGTTTTAACTCATGTCATTTAAACTATAATTACTGAGATTTTATTGTTCTTGGCAGGGAGTGAAGGAGAAAGACCGCAAGAATGGGGCGACGTTCAACTTCCTCCACCAAGAGTGGGAAGTTTATGAACCCCACTGATCAGGCCAGTAAGTACCAGCCTTTAGATGTTGAGCTTAAGTTGGCACTGACCTGTTTGATATTTCCTGAAGAACTATCACTTTATTGTTGTGAAATGTAAGAACCATAACCGTGTTTTTGTTTATCCATTCACCTCACAGGAAAAGAGGCCAGGAAAAGGGAGCTTAAAAAGGTATGTTTAGACTCAAAACAACAATATTCTGTTAGATGTAAAAGTTTTTACTATTGTGTTTCTGACATTGTGCTTCATTTGTTTACTTTTACCAGAACAAGAAGCAGAGGATGATGGTGAGAGCCGCTGTGCTGAAGATGAAGGATCCCAGGCAGATCATCAGAGACATGGAGAAGCTGGATGAGATGGGTGAGGGCCTGGAAACTCTGCATCTTACATTGGTTTTACAAGTGTAATATATTAGAGATGATAAGTTTGTTAATACGTTACCATTTCAACAGAGTTCAACCCAGTTCAGCAGCCTTTGCTGAATGAGAAGGTGTTGAGGGACAAGAGGAAGAAGTTGCGTGAAACGTTTGAACGCATTATCCGACTGTACGAGAGGGAGAATCCTGACATGTACAAGGAGCTGCGCAAATTGGAGCTCGAATACGAAAGCAAACGAGGGCAGCTGGCACTTTATTTTGATTCAGTGAAGGTATGGTTTTTGTGCTGTGATTGAATGCATGTGCAAGGTTGTATTGAACTATTTTTAAGTTGTGTATTGATTGATGTTATCATTAGAATGAGTGATAACAGAGTACGATTTAACCAGTTTTGTCTTACTTACACATTTTTTAAAAATTCATATAGTGAAATGTGAATAATTTTTTTTTTTTGGGATACACAATATATCAGCGTTAACATAAACACTGGCTGATATTGGTCATTTTTAGAATATCGGTCCGATAAGTAAAACAGGGCATTTTTTATGGTAAAAAAGGAGAAGTGTATTTGTGCGTATATGTATATATAAATAATTTGTGTGTTTGTGTAGGGCTGCACAATATATCGCAAATTTATCGTCATTGCGATAACAGCCTGTGCAATAGGCAWATCGCAAACAACTGTATAAGTTGTAATGAATAGTTGGCTTTTATGTTTACATTTATGTGTCAGCATCAGTCTGATAAAGTGGACCAGAGAAACCACATCAAATCATAATCACTCTGTCATGTTGTAATGGAAATGATGTAGTAGTTGTTTTTTTGCTCTGAACCCAGAGTAGAAAGACCTCAACACGGCATACTTAAGTATTTTTTATTTATTTATTGCAAGTTAGTTAGTTTATTAATTTCTTTAAAAACAACAATATAGCTATATGCACACACACCAATCCTAAATTAAATGAAAGGTAGCAGAAGAAGAACAAATCTTATTATATCTGCCCCGTTTTATCAAATAAATAAATTCAATCAAAACTAATCTTTAGTTTACAAAAAAAGTCGTGTCATCATAATATTAGGCACTGTTATTGCACATCGCAGGTTTTCCTGATATGCAGCCCTATGTTTGTGTAATATTGGTAAGTATTGGTTATCGGCCATAACACCAATAAGAATATTGGATATCGATATTGGCTGAAATTTTCAAATCAGTGCGTTCATTTTTTTTTTTTTTTTAGTATTTTTGACTTGACTTGTTTTTATTTTTCTAGTTTATTTACATTATTTAGTTCTTTTTTATTTCTTAGTTCTTATTTATTATCCTTCTGTTAAGTCTAATTTGGTAAATTATGTACTTCAGAATGCAGAGTCAGTGGAGGTTGATAGCATCCCATTACCCGACATGCCTCACGCCCCCTCCAACATCCACATCCAGGACATCCCGTTACCAGGGGCTCAGCCTCCTTCTATACTAAAGAAGACTTCCTCTTTTGGGTAGATTTAATTTGTTCAAGATTTTTGCTCCTAAATTTGTTTCGAGGCTATTAGAAGGCTAATGTTGTTTTTATTTATATTTTAGTAAAGGACCTCTTTCATCATCTTCTGGACCGGGGTTAGGAACAGGATCAGCTGTCCCACGTTTACCCCCGGGGAAGAAGCCTCCAGGACCCCCACCAGGTCCCCCACCTCCACAGATCCTGGCGCTGTATGGCATTCCTTCACGACAACCTTATGGCTCTGAAGCAGGTAACTGCAGACAGATTTCAACTTATATTAAWGAGCCCAATATATTAACATCTTACGTTTCTACCTTCTTATTGCCTTCTCTTAAAATGATTGTTTTTTCCTGACCAGAGCCTGCTATTCCTGGACTGGACAGGGAAGTTGCCATGAATTTGGGCAGAGACGAYAGCGGCAGTGAGAGCGACAGGGATCAGGATGACCTGGACGACAACAGCGACTCTGAAGACGACAGCGAAGAAGAGAGAGAGGAAGGAGGAGACRGTGACCAGAGAGGACGTGCGGAGCGGCAGGGTGAAGACAGAGACGAGGACAAGGACAAAAGTGAAAGACATGCTGGTGAGTGCTGCAGTGTGTTTGCACCAGGCGTTTTGATTTTAAACTTTGTGCTGCTCATGAGTTTAAAAGAACCCCGAGGCCTCAGGTTATTTTGACCCAAGGACAGCAGCAGGTTTAAATGTACTAGCCAGACTTTTTTCTTAAATGTACTTAAACTCACTTCTGATATATTTTGTTCCCTGTTTCATAAACTGTGAATCAGTGTCTCTGTTTGTTTTGCTATTTTGTTGTAAATTATTTTCTCTTGGTAAAATCCTACCCCTACAAAACACAGATTTCCAAATGTGCACCTACATCTGACATCGTATTAGATCTCAGGCAGTTGATAATAGTTACTCTCAAGTGTGATCCTCGGTCTGTTTTTGTGTTCCTTCTTTTGTTTTTTGTGGGATTTTTGGCCTGTTATCACCTCCGCCAAGGAGGTAATGTTTTCGGTCGCRTATGTATGTCTGTCCWTCTGTCTGTCGGGCTGTCGTTCTGTCTGAGGACAACATTACTCAAAAACTTGTGGACGGGTTGTCATGACATTTACACCACATATGGATAATCGCGACTTCTCTTTTTGCTGCTGCAGCAGAACAGCGTTGTACCTGTTCAGTGTAGTACAGGGTCACAGAGAGCTTATGATGGTTATGTGCTTAAGGTCAATGAATGTGACAACAGGTACATGTAGTTCTTCTAGAGTTCTAATGATTATTAGAAAGGACATGATTTGAGGTTTTTACTGATAATATTTTATTCAAAATGTTACAGAAGTCG